TAAATCAAATCTGACATCTACCGCACAAAGATCCTCACAGTGTCAATCATAATGACTGTGATCTTTGCAACTTCTTTAACAATCGTCGTAACCGACCACCACTCCCAACCTTTAACCCGTCCTCACAATTTATTAATCATAATGAAAATCGAAGTGGTAATGGCTACCAAATAGAAATCAATTAGATCACTAAACACGTCCACTGAAATTGATGTACGGAAAAAAATACAAAGCTGACAGACGAATAAGGCAGGCGTAACTGAAGAAAACTGTAGTTTATTACAAAAAACAAAACAACGACTGATAACAGTTAACAACGTAACTTCAGAAATTAGCAAATTTAACGATGTTCAAGTTAAATACGAACGATTTAGCAAACAGACAAATGGAGAAAAGACTTTCTTCCCAAATCCCATGTGAGAGACTATTCCACACCTGGCTAGAAAAATTTGTCCCAATATTCATCTCTCAAGTGAAATAAAGTACCGCAAACCGGAAACTGCAGTTTCCTTCTTAACCGAGATAGATTTTGGTTTAATTACCGGAAAAGTTTTAGTTTTTATGGACAATTTAGAAGCAACTCCACTTTCAAAAAAGACACCATAAATCCGAGCAACTATGAAAAATAACATGCAGCAGAAACTGCGTAAAAGAAATATACTATGATAAAACAGACACCCTTCATTGCATCGGTTCATTCGTTGGTCCCTGAAAAATTAAAATAATCAAAACAAAAAATAGTAATGGGAAAATACAGCAAACTAAACAAGATTCAAAACCGAAAAATAAACAAATAACTCTTTGTTGCCAAACAATACAATAAACTAGCCTCAGCATGTACACCCGCTCTAGGCATTTCAGCAATGCGATTCAAAAATGGCTGTACTTCTTCATCGTCCATAACTGTGAACGGCGTTCCTTTACCAACTACAGCGATGGTGGTATTCTAAACAAATAAACCTACTAAAACCACTGAAAATCCCCCGACCTCTTTGCAAGCAAGATGTTTTATTCAAAAAATTGAGTGATTTTTAAAGTGCGAATCGCGAGTCTAATCTGTTCATCAAAAAAACATACTAAATTTGAACCAAGGTGCCCAAAATACAAATTTGAATGTTTCCGTTTTATAAAATCAAAATAAGATCTTCCACTCACTTTTTTTGTCAGGTTGTCTTCCGCGGGTAAAGTGTCTCTTAATGCCAACAAAGCAAATTCAACCAACTGCTCTACGCTAGCTGAAAGATTGACAAGTCTTTACACAAGGGCAAACAACAACAAATAACTAAAACGACTAGCTTACCATCAGGAAATTTATCTAACTGTCTTTCAAGAAAAGTCCGGGCACTTTGCGAACGGGCACCAATTGAAGTAGCAAAGGTTTCAACTACCTCAGCGGAGGGATCTGTTTTCACTATGTGAGCTCCTCT